ACTTTAAAGTCTATTTTGTGAGGGATTAATATTGCCACTCCTGCTCTTTTTTGATTGTTGTTTGCTTGATATATTTTTTCCCATCCTTTGAGTTTTAGTTTGTTTGTGTCTTTGAGCCTAAGGTGTGTCTCTTGTAGGTAGCATATAGACGGATTGTATTTTTTATCCATTCTGCCACTCTCTGTCTCTTTATTGGTGCATTTAGTCCACTTACATTCAGTGTAATTATTGATAGGTAACAGTTTAGTGCTGTCATTTTGATCAATTTTTGTGTGTGTGTTGTTGACAGTTTCTTTGTTCCACTTCATTTTCTATGCTGAGTCATTTTTCTTATGTATTTTGTTTTCATTGTTGTTGATTTTGTATTTGCTGAGTCTTTATGTTTTTCTTCTGTTTTATTTTGATGTGTAAGATTTTTAGTTTCCTTTGTGGTTACCTTAATATTTACCTCTATTTTTCTAAGTTTAAACCAATCTTTTACTTCTTTATATCACCTTGACTTCCTCTCCATATGAAAGTTCTATGACTACATTATTTTATCCTTCTTTTTTGTTTTAATGTTGTCCTCTTTTACATATTGACGTCTCTGTTTCCCTATTTTCAGTGTTTTAGCTTTGATTTATTTTCGTGACTTCCCTATCTGAGTTGATATCTGGTTGTTCTGTCCTGTGTTCCAGTCTTGGGTTGTTATCTGATATTGCTGATTTTCTAACCGGAGGACTCCCTTTAGTATTTCTTGTAATTTTGGTTTGGTTTTTTACAAATTCCCTTAACTTCTGTTTATCTGGAAATGCCCTAATTTCACCATCATATTTAAGAGACAGTTTTGCTGGATATATAATTCTTGACTGGCAATTTTTTTCCTTCAAGGCTTTATGTATGTCATCCCATTGCCTTCTTGCCTGCATGGTTTCTGCTGAGTAGGCAGAGCTTAGTTTTATTGACTCTCCTTTGTAGATGACTTTTCGTTTATCCCTAGCCACTCTTAAAATTCTCTCTTTATCTTTGGTTTTGGCAAGTTTGATTATAATATGTCTTGGTGATTTTCTTTTGGGATCTACCCTGTGTGAGTTTCCATGAGTTTCTTGGATAGATATCTTCTTGTCTTTCATGATATCAAGGAAGTTTTCTACCAACAAATTTTCAACAATTCTCTCTGTATTTTCTGTTATACCACCCCACCACCACCACAATCACTGGTAGTTTATTTCTCTTGATCGAGTTCCACATAATTCTTAGGGTTTCTTCATTTTTTTAAATTCTTTTATCTGATTTTTCCTCAAATAAATTTGTGTCAAGTGCTTTATCTTCAGTCTCACTAATTCTGACTTCCATTGCCTCAATTCTGTTCCTATGACTTTCTATTGAGTTGTCTAATTCTGAAATTTTATTGTAAATCTTTTGGATTTCTGTTTGCTGTCTCTCTATGGATTCTTGCAGCCTGTTAAATTTGTCATTATGCTCTTTTATAACTTCTTAAGTTCCACTGTTGCTTTGTCTGTTTGTTCCTTATCTTGGTCTGCATTTTGCCTGATCTCATTCCTGATTTCTTGAAGAGCTCTGTATATTAATCTTTTGAATTCTACCTCCAGTAACTCCAAGACCTTCTCTTCCTCCAGGAGGTTTCTTAGTCCTTTGTTTTGGTGGCTGGCTGAAGCCATCATGGTCTGCAACTTTATGTGATTTGATATTTACTGCTGTCTCCGAGCCATCAATAACTTATTATATTTATTTATTTTATGTTTGCTTACTGTGTCCTAGCTTCTTCTTTTGTTTTAGTTTTGATATATCCAAATAGGTTGGTCATGTGAGCTACTTTGATTATGGGCATCTTTGAAGCTCTCATGTCCTGTCACCAAGTGGTTTAGAGCTGTTACTAGGTGTGCGAGACAAGAAGTATGCTTATATTTCTTGTGTGGATTCAGCTCAGGTGTCCAGGTCATCGGTCACCAAGCGTGTGGTGCAGGCTCTCACCTATAGTCCTGGATGGGAAGGCCTACATAGGAGTGATTGGAGTAGGCACAGGTATCTGGCTGCAGTAGGGGGTTATGTGCTGAGCAAGGTAGGGGACTGACAGCTGCCCCTGAGCCCCTGGGTGGAAGGTGTGTCCCCATTCCCTAGAGCACATAGGTTGGTGGGTTTTGCAGCCAGACTTTGGGCACCCAATGCTGTTGGCTGTAAGCAGTGGGAAGCACCACTTATTCTCGGACACCTGTCGCCAGTGGCTAGGTGGAGGGGGTAGAGCCACCAGTCCTCACGCCCCTGATGTGGGTAGGTGAGGACCTTGCTTAATGGGTAGGACAGTGTAAAATGTCATGAATCTGCTACTCCCCCTTAGCTGTTGCAGTTGAGAATAGACTTCAGGTATATACCCTGTTGTACTGTGCTAATAAGGGCCTACACTGCTGAAATGGGCCCACACAGGTCTGTGCAGGGGTGAAAGGCATTCAAAGTCCGTGGACCTCTTATGCCTGTGCCTAGGCAAAGGGGCTGTGTCTGCCCTGAGTTCCCAGCTTAGGGGAGCTGGCAGATTATTTTTTCCTGTTTGTTAATTTGTTCTGTCTCCAAAGCAAGCCAGGAGAATGGCTAGGGTTCATGAGGAGTTCCACTTCTGGCCCAGGGGGCACACAATCGCTGAAGCTGGAACAGGACTGGAGCAGAGTGGGGAGGGGGTGGGTAAATGGGAGAGAGGTGCTTCCCAGAGGGAGGAAGCTTTTTTTTTGATCCTGCGTGGTACGTTAAATGCTTGCACTTAACTTTTGCAGATTCACTGCCACTTCTCCCTGATTCCGGAGGCTTGAGCAGACTCTCTGCTGCTCAGTTTCTCTTGGTGTGTTAAACACACCCCAAGCACTACTGCTTGCCTCAGCCTACCAGCGCTGGCCAATCCAGCCTGCAGGGTGCCAGCCAGGTCAGTTCTGGCAAATTCTTGCTGCTTCTGAACTCTTTCTCCCTCCCTGTTGCTCTGTTTGACTCCTCAACCTTGTCTTTGATGTTCAGGGCTCCTAGATTATCATATATAATCAATTCACTTTTTGGGGGTCTTTGTTGTAAGAGGGACCACAGGAAGCGTCTGACTACTCTGCCATCTTGGCCCCACCTGAACTGTGTTTCTTCTGACTTTCCCCACTAATGGCTTAAGAATCAGCTTTCTTGGTTGGTTAAGTCAGTTACCACTTACTATCTACTTTCCATTGTTCCACATTTTGTTGCTGTTGTCTTTTCTCCTATTTTCTTTGTCCTTAATGGAGTTTCAGAATAAACGTAATGCGTGCGTGTGTTTTCGACCCACCACCTGTAATTAACTGGAAGTCTCTTATGTCCTTTTCAAGCCTAGTTCTTCTGCTTTCCTTTCAGAATCTATGAATTTTGTATATCTCTTGAAAAAATTCCTTTTCTACTTGTCAGCCAGAGCCCCTTTCTCTTGGTTGCAGCCAAGAACCCTGACTGATACAATGAAAATTATTTATTTCAGAGGGAAAAAGGAGGGATTCTGGAAATAGATGAGGGGACTAGCTGTTAATCACCTACAGGTCCTGTGGGACTTAAAAGGGGACAAGAACATGGTTTAGGTTGAGAACAATAGGCTAGAGGAAGTCTGTCCAAAAGATTCTCCTTATTCTTAGTAATTAGTGAAGATGGATTGTTGGCTTAATTATTCACTTGGGATTTAAAATGTGTCTTGGGAGAGAGATGAAGGATGAGAAATATCCTTGTTTTAATTTTACCTTCCATGTAGCATTGAGGTTTAAAAAAAAACCAACAAACATGGGAACAAGGAGAGCCTGAAGTCTAGACAAGTTTAAATGAAATAATGTGCAGAAACCCAGTGCCTATCTTCTGTTCAATATTCCACAAACATACACTTCCTTGATCCTTTCCTACAACTGCTGGATAGTGATGAGTTAGTTTTCTCCCAAATCCTTGTTTTCTTCTTCCTGGATACATTGTTAGACTATGTTTCCCACCCCTCTTGCATCCAGGTGAACGATGGAACTGAGTTCCGGCCAATGGAATGCGTTGGAGTGATGAATACCTCTTCTGGATCTGGCCCCTAAATCCTCCCTTGAGATTCTGTAGGCTCTCTACTCCCTCATCTGCAGCCAGATGCAGAGGACCCAGAGGCCCTAGGGGAAAGCAGAGCCTCCAGATGGGTCCCTAACATCTCTCAGAAGCAGAGCTCCCTCCATCCCTGTTATGGATTGAATTATGTTCCCAAATAATATGTGTGGTAAATCCTAACCTCTATGCCTGTGGTTATAATCCCATTTGGGAATGAGTTGTCTGTTATGTTAACGAGACAGGATTAGTGTAGGGTGTTTCTTGAGTTAATCCCTTTTGAGATATAAAGGAGATTAAACAAGCAAGCTAAAGAAGTAGAGATGGGTGAAATAGATGCCAAGACACAAGGAGATCGCCAAGGAACCAGGAAGCAGAAGCAGAAGAGGCAAGGACCTTCCTCCAGAATCGACAGAGAAAGTCTTCCCCTAGAACCGGCACCCTCACTTCGGACTTCTAGCCTCCTAAACTGTGAGAAAATAAATTTCTGTTGGTTAATGCCATCCACCTGTGGTATTTCTGTTACAGCAGCACTAGATAACTAAGATAACTAAGATAACCCCTTCTCCCAATAACTACGTTGGACTGTGGCATGAAGGAGAAAAAACCTTTATTATGGTAAAGTCACTGAGATTTGGGGTTGATTGTTACAGAACTTAGCCGATCCCCCACTAATTCAGTCCTATCCTTGGAGAAACTGCCTTTACCTCTTGGGTCTCAGTTTCCTCGTGTGAAAATGAGAGATTTAGCCAGTGTTCTTTTAGCTGCTTCTCAGCTACAACACTCTATTTATAAATTGTACATTTATTACTCATCACTCAGATGAAGGAATAGGTGCCAGAAATACTTTTAACCACCCACTATGCTGGCTCACTTGGTGTTGTGACCTGAAGGTGCAAGTCTAGAGGTCAAATCAAGATATTAACGTGGAGCTGATCAGGATGATCAGGGATATGCAGCTCGCCATCTTTGCCAACATGCTGGCATGTTGCTCTTCTTGCTTTGTTGTTCTCTATCGCTATATGGCCCATAACAGTCCCAAAAAGCAGGAATGAGAGTAGTGCTTTCTCTGCCCCAGGGCTCCAGGACATTGACTGAGGCAAGATGGAGGGTGTGAGGGGCCTTCGTACTTCACTTCATTCCTTCTACCCATCACAACATACAAAGCAACTACACCTGGATTTTTCCAAATGTGCATTTTCTCAAAGTCTACCTTAACCCTACAGAACAAGAAGCTGCCACTGAATAGGGCCTGCTTTCTTTTCTACTCCCTTAATATAAAAATATATATTTTTGTAGTCCTCCCCACCAAATATATATATATATATATATATATATATATATATATATGTGCACCTGGCACTGAAAGAATGTGAGTGTGGTGAAATGAGTTCCTTTATGTGACCTTTTGCCTTGGTTCTTCAGAAAAACAGCTTGAGAGATTTTCCCCTAAACCCTGAGTTTTCTACCCGAGAGCACTTGTTACTTTTGCCAGGTTGATTGACATTTCCTAGGTAAGCAGTAAACAACTTTGTTTGATACTTTTTGTCTGGTCCTGGGCTGCAGCCTGCCCTGTGATCAGTACCCACCTTGCAGAGATAGGTCAACAGACTATGCAAATGAAGTGAGTTGTAGCCTACTATGCAAATGGAGTGTCTGTGGCCTACCAAGAGGTGATCGGTCAGTTCGAGGCCCCGGTGGGAGCACCATGCCTTGAAATTGACAAGGAGTTTGCGTAAATTTAAGCAGCCAGCCCCACAGAGGTTTTTCTCAGACATAAAGAAGCAGGAAAAGAAGCAGCAGGAATGAAGCAGAAGAAAGAAAGAAGAGAGAAGAAGCAGAAAGAGAAAGGAGGCAAAGAACCTCCTAAAAGAACTATAACATGGGTCAAGAGCTAGAACACTGAAAACAGAGACAGGCCCAGAAGGGGCTCAGTGGCAGAGCCGACAGCAACAAATGGCAGGGCCAAGAGGAGGCATGCGTGGTCAAGAGGAGGCATGCGTGGTCAAGAGGAGCCAAGAGAGCTGACCTGCAATGAAAAAGGGAGACTTTGCCTGCATGATTCCTTATCTTGAGTTGTAGCCTATTGATCCCGATCCTGAATTGTACCCTACTTCTTAATAAACCACTATGTTCTGTGAGTTCTGTGTGGCCATTGCAATGGATTATGGAACCCAGAAGTAGAGAGTGCCGTGGGAGGGACAGCTGGTATCAGAATTGGTAAAAAGTTGGAGGGTGGAGGTATGTCTGACTTCGCTTCACAGGGATCAGCTTTGGGCTGATTCGGGTCGTTATCCTTCTTGAAGTTAGGCAAGTGCTGATGCCATCATTTTATAGTGGGAGTGGAGGAGAAGAAAGGTTTGAAAATGTATGAATCCAGAAGCTAGTCTGAAGAAAATTCTTCCAATCACCAGACATGCAAAATGTAAGCAGAGGATTTCATTCAGTCAAAATAAGTTTTATCCTGTTGGCAATATACTCAATAACATGGTGTAGATAATTATAAATGCACCACACATTCTCTTCTGTTTTGATGGGAATTGTACAAAATATAATTTGTCAGAATTACTACTAATTTTTTTATGACTTTACACAAACTACTGGTATCAACAAAGATAATATAAAACTCACATACAACATTTCCAATGAGGTTTTCAAAGACAAACTGGCTAATGAGTATAGTCAATTTGAAGAGTATATGTAAGATTAGTTTCTGCACAAGAAAATTTGAAATGTTCTGAAATCCTCCAGCTCGTAGATAAAGGAAACTTGATCAAGGTTTTTTCCCAATTTGACAACAAACCCAAAAACTTACATGACATTGCTGATAACAAGTTGTGAACCTGAAAGAACCTGTTCTAAACTATCAAATAATAAAAGATCAATTTGATCCACCATGCTAAGACTGAACTACCTTTCTAGTCTCTCTCTATAAAATATTATCAAACTGTTGTCATGTGAAGAAGAAATCAAAGAGAATGCAACCAAAAAGGTAGGAAAAAGTAACATTCAGGTATGCTCGACAGTTAATTAATCAAACTATTATGGGATTTTTTGTGATGTTTGTGACACTTTTCAGCTTTTAAAAATTTGTGATTTGTTGTGATTTATTTTGTTAGTCTAAATAAGTATCTACTTTTGCACCTATCATTGTATTTCTACCTTGGTATTATTTTTTTTCCTTAAAGAGCTCCCTCCTCTTATTTGTATAAGTGTTAGACTCCACAAAACCTGGCCGACCACAGTGCAGAGTGGACTCTTAGATGCTGCTACAGCTATTTGAGGTGCTAGGGCTGGGTACTCGGCCACAGGCCTAGAAGCTGGGTATTGTTAGGCCATCTGGACTGATTAGGCTCTGAAAAATGGGGCACAGGTTTGAAAAGTCACCAACCAAAAACCCACTAATTCCAAATCATGGCAACCCCATAGGGTTTCCAATGCTGTAAATCTCTAGGGAAGCAGACTGCCACATCTTTCTCTCGTGGAGCCACCAGTAGTTTCGAACTGCCAACCTTTCAGTTAGCAGTCAATGGCTTTAACCACTGCACCACCAGGGCTCCTTGAAAAGTTGCTAGAGTGGGTCAAACCAAAACACCTATTTATTGGTTCACCTCTGAGGTATCTTAGGTCATTAGTGGCATTACCAGGCTCATCCCTATCTTTGCTTCTAAAGGAGCCCCATGATCAGGAGGAACCTGCCCCTCACCACGTAGGCCTGTTGCCGGTTTTCTTCTGGTGAACAGCGTTTCAAGAACTCAAAAACACGTCCATGTTCTCAATGAAATTAAACTATTTACTGGCAAAAATATACCACGTTTAAACAAACAAACACGTTTACAAAAGCAAGGTGATTCTAGCTCCTTGAAAATTAAGAGTTGTCAAGTGTCTGTACCAGTATCACCTAGTGACAGAAAGGGGTCACCTCAGCTAACCAAAATATGTCAAAAACCAGAGAGGGAAATGGTGCCAGTGCTGCTGTTCCCTCCTTTTTCTGGAAGTTGTGCAGGCTACTGTGGTTTACTGAATTCCACTGTGACTTTTGGTCATTAATTTACATCCCTAAACCTTATAACTAAATAGTGAAATGGCAGATCAGGTAGAAATGGGACAAGGAGGAGGAAAAAGGACAGGAGGAAAAGGAACAGGGCCTATTTTAACCCCTGATGGCACTTCACTCCCTTACAGGAAGTTCATCAAATTGCTAGCCTCATGGGAGCAGGAGGCCCCTTTAAGATGAGCTGATCCTGCTGGATATTCTGGGACAACTTGGCTTCTGACTTGAACCTGCTAGCTAGGCTGACCCTTCCATCTCTCTCTTTACCAGCTCTATTTTTTCTCATCTGTGGCTTAGTCCACATCTTGCCTTGCTCCAGTCTACCATGTGTTTCAGTTCAGCTTCTTTTTCCCTTCCATTTTAGTTTTCCCAAAACAGAACTGGCTTTAGTTGCTTTCCTGCATTCTCTATTGAGTGTCCATTCAACAGTTATTGAGCAACTTTGCACCAGGCATTATGCTAGGCATAGAGGATTCAAGGCTGAGAATAACATGGTAGTTGCAAGCACACCCACTGGAGCAGACTGCTTGGGTTCGAATCCTGGTACTATCACTACCAACTGTATGACCTTGGGCAAGTTACTAACTTCACTGTGCCTCAATTTCCTCATCTATATAAAAGTGATAAGGAGCCCTGGTGGTACAATGATTAAGCGCTGGCTGCTAACCAGAAGAACCCACCAGTGACTCCGTAGGACAAAAGACCGGGTGATCTGCCCCCGTAAAGATTTCAGCCTAGGAAACCCTATGGGGCAGTTCCACTCTGTCACATAGGGCCGCTGTGAGTCAGAATCAACTCGAGGGCACCCAACAGCAACATATAAAAGGGATAATGACCATGTTTTTTTCTTCACAGATGAGGATTTAATATGTAAGTTAACACATGTAAAGGGCTTAAAACAGTGTCTGGCCCCTGGAAAGCACTCTTTAAGTGCTCGCTCTTAACGCATAGTCCCTGCCTCTTAAGGCGCTCACAGTCTACAGTTGCCTCTGTCCACCTGTCACTCCCAAGTCTGGTAGATCATGGCTACCCTTTCCTAGATGAACCAGGTGCAAATTCTTGTGTCACAGATTCACTGTTTGACCCGGGACAAGTAACTTCTCTCTGGGTTTCATTCTATGCATCTGTAAAAGAAGGGAGGTCAACCACAACTGAATTCAAAAATCCCGACAAGCTTCCTGTTCTGGGTCAAGCAGTCTGAGTTTCAAACTTGGGCAAGTCACTTGACCTCTCTGTGTATGTTTCCTCACTTGTAAAATGGGGGTAGTATTACTAAGCACCTCCCAGGGCTGTGGTGAGGATTCAGTGAAGTAACGCAAGCATCGCGCTTCGGTAGGGTGCCTGAACACAGCGAGAACTCAGCGAACGCCAACCTTTGCTATCCATTGTAGCATTCTTCTCCATCCGGTGTCTTGGCCTTTGCTATTCAGCGCACGCGCACTGGCCGCCGTGACAGCGCTCGCCCGGCCACAAGTTCCCGGCTTCCGGTTCCGCGGGAACCTAGAGGTGGAGCTGAAGCTCATGGCGGCGCCCAGGAAACAGACCACCGGGGGCGTTGAAGAGGCCGCGGCGGAGGAGGAACCGCGAATTCTGGAACCCGGGGCCGCCCCATTCGGAAATTTCCCTCAGTATTCCCGGTTCCACCCTCCAGAGCAGCGGCTCCGCCTCCTGCCCGCGGAGCTGCTTCGACAGCTCTTCCCTCCCGAGAGTCCTGACACGAGGCCGATCCTGGGGCTCGACGTGGGGTGTAATTCCGGGGTGAGTGACGGGGGTTGGGTTTGGAGGTTGAGGAACTAAGCGGTTGGCTGCCTCAACGTCCACTGAGATTCTGGCCTGGGCGTGGCATCACACCGATCAAAACTTTCCCAAAATGAGCTTAAAGGCGTAGCAATGACCGGCCCCATGCTGCTTCCTGTAAGCTAGGGTCCCACCACCATCTCAGGAATCTTGGGGAGGAATCCTTGTCAACTACGTTCGAATTCCGTGTCTCTGCCCCCGCGTTCGTAGCCCCTGACGGCTAAACCTCAAGTGGGGAGAGCGCCGTATCTGGGCTTCCCGCGACCTGGCTGGGGAGAGGAGGCTCCAGGAGCCGCAAGTTTGGGGAGCATGAGGTTGGGACGGATTTACTGGGAGAGATGAACCAGGGTTAACAGAATCGTGCCTGGAATTAAGACTCATGTGTGTACCGTACATTGCAGGACGCCTGGAGCCAAGTGAATATTTATTTAAAAAGCAATGAATTGACAAAGTACAGTGGAGAGGATCGAGAAGGAAAATAATGATTATAGTCAAACCATATACAAAATAACGAAATGTCTCTCTGACACCTTTTTGCAGCCCTGGGATATCCTAAAGGAGCAGGCAGTCTGACCTTATGACTGCAAATGCTTCATAAATCCGTACCCTCACTCCACAACCTCCATCACCTCCCCTACTACCACCAGAGGCAGAAGGGGGTGGAGACAATTGTATTTAGTGTGTTGATGACCTTTGGGCAGAAGAGACTTTGGTGGAGGGTTGAAGGCCATGAGGGACACTGCTTATAAGGGGAGGGGAACTTTTGGATACAGACTCAAAGGGTGGAATGAGCAGATGACTGGGTGTCCAGGTGTCCCCTGCAAACATTTCTGCACTGTGATATATAGGAAATCAGAGGGAAAGGCATTGGAAAAGAGTGGCTGGGCTTAAGGCTTGGGGTTTCATGAAACGCACTAGAAAACCACCACAAATTTTAAGGTGGAGAGTAGTGTAGATACATAACACATTAGAGAGACAAGGACATAGTTGCAATTAACTAGCGCAGTGGTCCCCAGACCTGATGTACATTTAGGAGCTTTTCTATTTTGCACTTTAAAAAAAAAAAAAAAAGATTCAACTTGATAAAAAAAATTAAAATTATGAAAGTGCATATAATGAAAAGTAAGCCCCTACTCCTGATCTTAAGCCCTCTTCCTGTCCACAGTAGCAACTACTGTTTGTAATTTCTTGGGTATCCATACATGCATTTGTGTGTGTGTATAAAACTGTACCCCCCTTTTAGTTTTACAAATAGTAGCACACTATTCTGCACCTTGATTTTTCATTTAATAATGTGGAGATCACTCATATCACTACGTTCTTTTTTTAACAGCTTTGTAATATTTCATTACATAGATGTGCCATAATTTATGGGGTGCTTTTTTTAATTAAAAATTTTTTTTTCATTTAAAAAAGCTACTACTCTAGGCCTACTGAATCAGAATCTTGGGGGACTGAACCCACAAGTCTCTAGGATTGGAGAATTGAGAATGGAGAGGATAAAGAAATATGGTGGAGGAGAGACTGATGTGAAGTGACCAGTTAAATGTTGGGCCACACCCAAGATCAGATGGGAGGAGGGAGACAGTGAAGAAGGAAACAGAGAGATGGGAGAAAATCCAGCAGAGTGATATAGTGCCTTGGCACTCAAAGTGTAGTTCTTGGACTACAGCATTGGCATGACTCAGAAATACAGAATCTCAGCTTCCACCCCAGATCTACTAATCAGAATCTTTATTTTAACAAGATCCCAGGTGATTTGAATGCTCATTAAAGTTTGGGAAGCCTGGTATAGCAGAAAGAACCTAATATAGCCCAAGTCTTGTCATGTACTAACCCTGTGACATTGGACAAGTAAGTCACTTAATTTTTAAAATATAGTTTTGTTGTAAATTCTGCTGCACATAAAAAAGTGCAAAAAACCATAAATCTACAGTTTATAAATAATTATAAAGCAGACACCTTTATGACCCACTGTCCAGATCAAGAATAAGACATTACAGCACCCCAAAAGTCTCTCTTATGCCTTTTCCTGATCATGAACTCCTGACTTTTATTATTATTGTTTCCTTGCTTTTCTTTATAGCTTACTGTGGTATTTTTGTCTCACCAAACACCATAGTTTAATCTTACCTGTTTTTGAACTTCCTGTAAATGGAAGCTTGCCATATATTTTTTGTCTTGCTTTTCATTCAGCATTATGTATTTGTGAGAGTCATCATATTGTTGCACTGAGCTGAATTCTGTCATTTTTAACTGATTTAGCATTCCATCTTAATGAATATACCACATTTACTTATCCATGTTACTATTATCGGACATTGAGGTTGTTCTCAGCCACATTTTCTTCACCTGCACAAAGGACATAAATATTGTCCTCACAGGATTGACACAGAGCAGATGAGGTAGTGAATAGGAAAATGCCTTGAAAAAACTATAAACAATACAAATTTGAGGTAGTTATAATGGTTATAGAAATCAAAGTTAGAAAAAGGAGCTGGTGACTTATTTAAGAGTCAAAAAAAATGCTAGGATGGTGAAAATCACAAATCATTGGATTTGGCTAGAAGCAGGTCAGCAGTGACTTGAGAGTGACAGGTACAGAAGCAGAATAAGTGTCAGAGTGGTGAAGCATAAGACAGGTAGTAAAACTGAAGCTGTAAAGTAAAGGCTGGGTGTGGACTTTTTGGAATACAGATCTCCCCAACCTCTGGTCTGAGAAACAGTTTATTATAAGATAGTGCCTTGCTCTATCCCTCACTTTCCTGGTAAGGAACACTGGTTATGCATCTGGAGCCCTTTCCTCCTTCCTGGGGTCTGAGATCCCCACCCCACCCCACCCCCCAAAAAAAAAGAAAGAAAAGAAAAAGATAACACGTTTACCTACATATTACTTAAGCTAGAAAATATTGCTCTAGGCTTCTTTGCTGCATCCATTAGGCTATAACTTTCAACCATACAACAATCTGCCACTAGTGTCAGGAAAATATAAAGATGATACATTATAGCCTGTGACCCCTGGAGGGCGCTGAGAACCTGCTCTTGAAAAACTTTTCACTTAACCTCCTTAGGTACAGTTTAGCAGCCCCACATCCTATAAAGCCAGGGGTCAGTGGCAGTCTCAGTGGGAAGGTAAGAGATACAAGTTTCTCTTCCATTCACTGGTTGAGAGCTGCAATGACAAAGCTCTTTTGGATTCCTCTAGGAGTTGAGTGTGGCTCTATACAAACACTTCCTTTCCCTACACGATGGGGAGACCTGCTCAGATGTCTCAAGAGAACTCCGTCTCCTCTGCTGCGATATAGATCCAGTCCTGGTGGAGCGAGCTGAAAAAGAATGCCCTTTTCCTGATGCCTTGACCTTTATTACTCTGGACTTCATGAATCAAAGAACCCGGAAGGTTCTTTTGAGCTCTTTCTTAAGCCAGTTTGGACGCTCCATTTTTGACATTGGCTTCTGCATGTCAGTAACCATGTGGATTCATCTGAACCATGGGGACCGGGGCCTGTGGGAGTTCCTAGCCCACCTCTGTTCCCTCTGCCGCTACCTCCTTGTGGAGCCACAGCCCTGGAAGTGTTACCGGGCAGCTGCAAGGCGTCTCCGAAAGCTGGGCCTCCATAACTTTGACCACTTCCATTCCCTTGCCATCAGAGGTGATATGGCCAATCAGATTGTGCAGATCTTGACCCAGGATCATGGCATGGAGTTAGTATGCTGCTTTGGCAACACCAGCTGGGACCGAAGTCTTCTGCTCTTCAGGGCAAAACAGACCATAGAGACTCATCTGATCCCTGAATCCTTGATGGAAGAAGGGAAAGAAAGGAACAGATTAAGATTCTGGAGACAGTGAGTTGGGAGGAGGGGAAGACCAGGAAAAGAGATGTTGAAGAGGTTTTACATTGAGAAGATACTCGAGTTCACTCTTCTTGATTCCTTAACAGTTGGGCAGCCTCAAAACCTGGCAGAAGCTTTTGGCAGAATGTCCAAGGCATGCAATTGAAAGAATCAGTACCACTGTTTGGGACAATCCCTGTGGAGAATGAATCCATGGAACAATGAGCTGGGCTATCTGGATTGAGATGGACTAGACAAAGTGATCCTGGTTTTGGGATGTGGAAGGGCACTGCTTTGGGGGGTTAGTTATAAAGACCAGCCTAGCCTTAGAATCTATCAGTTCACTGGGATCCTTGAATCTGACCTGGCTTCCTCAGGTTTCTGGACTTGCTGGACCTGGCTTCAGGCAAAACCTAATACAATCTGGAATGAAGAGTCACTGGCCTGGCTAAAGCAAAGGGTTAGTAGGAAAAGGATCTTACCGTTATAGATTAGCAGGTCAAGTCTCCAAGATGCACTGACTGGCATTTAAAAGATGTTGAAAAATTTAAATCATGAATTCAACATCCAGCTGATACAAATGAAATGAATAAAGTGGGATTGTATATAACTTATAAAATTATATGTAATAAAAATGACGAGTGTGGTTGAGAATTCCCTGTGAGTCTGGGGTAGATAAGAAAATTCTGCTTTTATCCCTCCTATCTGTGTGGGAGACTTGGGGTTTGATTCCCAGCTAGTGCGCTTCGTGCACAGCCACCACTTGTCTGTCACTGAACCACCACTACCCCCAGTTCTTTGGTACCTCAAATTCAACATATCCCAAAATTAAACTCATTACCCTCATTCCGAACCCAGTCGTGTCTCAGCTGGTGACATCTACCTCAGTTGACTCTTCCCTCTCTTAAATTCCCCACAATGAAATGGTTAGCAAGTCCAGTAAATCCTACCAATAACATGTAAATCCCATTTATTCCATCGATTTGGTTGGCACCTACCAGGGGTTTCTGTGTTGTCATCTACTCCATTCTCTGCCTTCCTGCCAGTGTTCTCTTTCTCAAATATCTAATTGTGTTAGTACTATGCTTAAAAACCTCCAGTGGCTTCCTGGAGTCTAGAGTCCTGTCCTTTATCCAGTGCCTAAACCTATGTTGTTCAATCTGGTAGCCACTTGCTATTTAAATTAAGTAAAATGAAATAAAGTTTAAATTCAGTTCGTCAGTCATACTAGCCATATTTCAAGTGTTCAATAGCCGTATGTGACTAACCTGTTACCATTGAGTCGATTCCGATTCATAGTGACCCAATAAGACAGAGTAGAACTGCCCTATAGGGTTTCCAAGGAGCAGCTGGTGGATTTGAACCGCTGATGTTTTGGTTAGCAACTGAGCTCTAAACCACTGTGCCACCAGGGCTCCACAAACTAAACCTGTTGCTGTTGAGTCCATTCTGACTCATAGCGGCCCTATGTGTGACTAGTGGCTACTATATTGAATCGTGCAGATATAGAACGTTCCCATCATTGCAGAAAGTTTTATCACATAGCACTGGTCTAAACCCCATAACATGGCCTTCATGCCTCTCTTCCCTATATCAGCCACACTGAACTTCTCACCTCCCACTCCCTCAGACTTGCCATGTCCTTTCATACCTCTGGAACTTAGCACAAGCCATCCCTCTGCTCCTCCTCTGTCCTCCAACTCTCCCACCTTGCAACCTGGTGGAACTACTTGTCTTAAAAGACAGCTTAAATTTACATTTTTTTGGGAAATTTTTCCCAACTCTCTGGTACTTTGCATTTGTTCACTACATTTTTGGGGGGACTGCATAGAAGCCTTTATTGTACCATGTACCACATATCATAACTGTTGATATGCCTCTTTTCCCCCTACCACAAGACTGATCTCAAGCCCAACTTAGCTTTGTACACCTAGACCTGGTATAATGCCTGACACATGGCAGGCAGTCAAGAACTATTTGTTGAAAATATATGAATGAACAAAAGAGAAATCCACCTGAATTCAGTTATTGAGAAGCAAAGGGAGAGCTGTGATTGGGCAAAGACTGCCCAGTAAACCATGAGAATAGAGGAAAGTTAGACAGTTGAGAGGGGCATAACCTTGGCCTTTGGCATGGAAGTTTGAGATATGTTTTGTCAAACATGTCTTTGAGAGAAAATGTTCATTTAAAAGCCTTGATTATTGGTGATTTGGGAGAGGACAATAAATCAAGACTGGATATAAAAATTTGGAAGTCATGTAGAGTGATTGAGATTGACTTAACTTTCAAAAATAAGTGAATATGGTAGGAAAGGACCAGGTCCTAGGTCTGAGGGCCACTAATAGTTATTGAATGAGGGGAAAAAAAGGAACTAAAAAAGGTCTAATTAGAAACAAAAAAGGAAACCCTATGAGGTAGGTACTCTTACTATCCCCATTTTGCAGATGTGTAAACAAGCATAGAGAGGTTAAGTGAGTGTCCCAAGGCCACATATCTAGTAAGTAGCAGAGCTGGGCTTTGAACTCAAACAGTATAGTTCCAGAATCAGCTTTAGCTGACATGTCATGAGATGTCACAGAAGTCCAGGTTGGGAAGAGACTCCAGAAAGCCAGTGTAGGTGATAAGAACGTGGACTTCAGAGTTACTGTGCCCCCTCAAATTACGCGTTCAGGACTGGGAACAAAAGACCCAGCCAGTCCACCCTTAGCAATCCCTGATATCCTTAGAATTCCCCTCACAGAAGTCACCTAATCCTATGTTGAATACCTGAGTTGTGCCCTGCTGCTGCCTACAAGTTAAATAGGCTTGCCCCTCATGGTGTCGGGGAAAACTGGGAGTTGGCAGCCACATACAGCAGAGATTAAAAACCAAACCTGCTGCCATCAAGTCAGTTCTGACTCAGCAACCCTATAGGACAGAGTAGAACTGCTCCATAGGTTTCCAAGGAATGGCTGGTGGATTTGAACTGCTGACCTTTTGGTTAGCAGCCACAGCTCTTAACCACTGCACCACCAGGCTCCACAGCAGAGATAATCTTAAACCTCCCTCAGACGTAACTACCCTTACACTATACCCTTGATTTGCCAGAACCCTAACGTCCCCTGAATTCCTGAAATTCCCAGTCTGACCCTAGCTCTGACCTTTGGGTAGGATCTCCTGAAAGTGGATTTTAATCTGTTTTATGTTAAGGAGGCAGGGATTCCAAGGTGGACTAAAATCCTAGAACCATCTGGGTCTTTCCCAGCCTTCTGGGATTTGGCCTGGGGATGGTAGCAGCAGAAAGAACCTCAGCTTTGGAATCAAGATCTACAAGTAACTCATTGTATGACCACCTTGTTTAAGTCATTTAACCTCTCTGAGCCTCAGTTTACTCATCCGTACAACTGAAATAACAAGACCTTCTGTCATGGTTTGAATTATGGCCCCCCAAAAATGTGTGTATCAATTTGGCTGGGCCATGATTCCCAGAATTGTGTGGTTGGCCTCCATTTTGTGATTGTAATTTTATGTTAAAGAGGAGTGGGGTGGGATTGTAATACCTCCTTTACACATGTCACATCCAATGTAAAGGGAGTTTCCCTGGGGTGTGGCCTGCACCACCTTTTACCTCAAGAGATAAAGGAAAGGGAAGCAAGCAGAGAGTGGGGGACCTCATACCATCAAGAAAGCAGTGCCAGGAGCAGAGCGCGTCCTTTGGCCCGGGGTTCCTGCGCAGAGAAGCTCCTAGTCCGGGGGAACACTGAAGAGAAGAAGGCCGACAGAGAGAGAAAGCCTTCCCCTGGAGGTGATGCCCTGAATTTAGACTTTTAGCCTACTTTAACTGTGAGGAAATAAACTTCTCTACATTAAAACCATCCACTTGTGGTGTTTCTGTTATAGCAGCACTAGATGACTAAGACACCTTCCTTTTCCGATGCCCAGATGGGCTAAAGGATGTGAAGGTATTTTGCAGAGTGTTAGACAAAAACAAAGTGTCATTATACCCTGTAAGCATGCCATAGATCATGCTCAGGCTGCCCAAGACCACAACTACCCTTGTTAGACAAAAGTCCTATAAGAAAAACAGCTGGTAGAAAACATGCATCTTACTATCTCTAATAATTTATCTTTTAGGTGAAGTCTTAAGGAGTTCAGCTTCAGCTCTACAGAGCATTTTAAATGAAGCAATGCTGGGAGGGAGTGATTGTTGCTAATGAAAATGAGGTCAGTTTATAATGGTCTCACAGTCCTTACAGAGCTGAATTTACCTACTCTGCAGCTCTCAATTTAGGTACACTTAGAAACAAAGACAAAGTAACCCTGCTTGGTGCTCTCTCCTACCACCTTCTACCAAGTCATCACAAAGGAATGTATACGGGACTGTGGAAGGCTGAATAATGGCCCCCAAACTGTCCACGTTTTAATCCCCAGAGCCTGTGAATATTAGTCTTAGATGGCAAAAGGGACTTTGAAAATGTGTTAAGTTATGGATTTTGAGATGAGGAGATGAACCTAGATTATCTAGATGAGCCCTAAATATAATCACAACTCTCTCTATAAGATGAAGGCAGAGGGAGATTTGACTACAGTAGGAGATGTCACAGAAGCAAGAGGTTGGAGTGACTCGAAGAAGGGCTGCAAGCCAATAAATGCAGTAATCTTCTAGAAGTTGGAAAAGACAAGGAAATGGATTTTCCCCTGAAGCTTCCAGAAGGAACACAGCTCTGTTAACACCTTAATTTTAGATTTTTGACCTCCAGACCTGTAAGAGAATAGACATGTTGTTTTCAGCCACTAAATTTGGTGATTTGTTATGATGGCAATAGGAAACTAATATAGGGGCTCTGATTACAATGAGACTAGGGTACAAGACCAAGTAGCACCTGTCCCAAACAACTCCTTAGTGGCAGAAAATGGCCCCAAGGACGAGAGTGGGAGGCAGGGGCTCTATCTATGTGGTTAACTGAGGAAACTTCAACCTAAAAGCTTTGGAAGATGCTTCAGCATCTGAACCTAACCAGTTTCCTAATATTGTTCTATTGGCTGAGCAGTTACTGGACCTGTTGGGAGGAACCATTTTGTTTCAAGTCTGTTGCAGTTAGCTTCAAAGAAGATGTGTAATTAGTGCTCAGAAAGATGATGTCCTGGTACCAAGAAGATAATGACTGAATAATGGCCTATGAGAGCCCTTGGAGACAGTGAGAATATCTTTGGCTCCAAGAAAAGATCATCTTATTTACCCTCAAGCCAGCCTAATTTAGGAGCCAACACCAAGCATGATGAGTCTTCTTAAAGGACAAGAAATAGAGAATGGTCTTGGATATACCTTTTATATTTTTAAAAATAATATTGTATGTATTCTAATGTGGCCAAAATATTAACATTTCACCATGCAGTCATTATAACATTATTTATATGTTTTTTATATACTAAATCTTGAAAATCTAATGTGTATTTTATACTTACAGCTCATCTTAATTTGGACTGGCCACATTTCAGATGCTCATTAGCCACATATGAATACACTTTTATGGCAAATCAAGAAGTATTTCTCAAATTCCTTCCATATACCCTTCATGCTTTTAGCGGCTGTGGGGGGTAGGGAAAAGTAGATGAAACAACCCAAAGGTTGTTTGAAACAACTTTCAAAGCTTATACTTGATTCATTCAGCAAATAAAGCTGAGAGAAAGAGAGGCACATACAAGGTAGCATGCAATCATGTGAGCTTCAGAGAAGCGAAAAATCTCTGTAGACTGGACTGGGCATGGAAGACTTTCTAAAGGAGATGAGACTTGAGCTGTGCCTGAAAGAGAATGTAGCATTTATAATGATGGACAAGAGGGAACGAAGCATTCCGTATGAGACTGGAGGAAGGAACCTCTCAGAAAGGGCACTCAGGAATGGGTGTATTCTTCATTGAGGACAGATGAGATTGGCTGGTCTAGAATGGAGATGTCATTCTAGGCAGCAGTGGAAAATAATAACAGTAGTGATCCTTGTCATTTAACTAGATTCTGGATGGAATATTTACAAGTAAAAAGAGAACTATAAACATACTAGAGAAAACAGGTAATTTTAAAAATTGGAGTACTTTCTATATTAGCCCAAGAGACAGAAAGGGCCACATAAACCAGAGACTTCATCAGCCTGAGACCAGAAGAACTAGATGGTGCCCAGCTACCCACCAATGACCACCCTGACAGGGAACACAACAGAGAGTCCCTGATGGAGCAGGAGAAAAGTGGGGTGCAGAACTCAAAATCTAGTAAGAAGACCAGACTTAATGGTCTGAATGAGACTGGAGGAACCCTGGAAAGCATGGCCCCT